TTCTAGTTCAGTTGCGCTGTTGTGTGTGGCGAGTCGGATGGGCGGGGAGGCTGGGCCCCTGACGCCTGGAGAAGATGTGCTGGTGCACGAAACCCGTTACCCGACCAAACCCCTACCCGTTGCAGCCCTACGTTCAAACAAGGCCGCGTTCCGCCTTTCCGTTTTCACCCGGATGACCGTTTGCAACGATCTCCAGCGGATACTGTCAAACTGACAACGTGTTACCACCAGCGCTATCTTTTGAAGTGCTATTTTTTGTCAATGCTCTGACTGCCAAAGTGCCGGTATATTATAAGGACTTGCTTGCTATCTTGTCAATCACCATTGTATTCGACTTGCAGAGTAATGGTACAAAAGGCCTAGTCAAAACTATACTTGTGGCTTCTGTGCTTCGTTTGCTGATTTGCTTTCCTCTAACCAAGAATCTAATAAAAATGTGTTAGTACAAACGTCTATGCAAACCGGTGCGCTGGTAAACACAGAAGCATACGGCAGTACAGATTTGTGCCATGGTTGCCGCTCGCCGTTCATCTCAACTGATTTATTGACCGGATAGGTCGGACTTCACAACTCATCATGATTGTTTCTGGAATGCGTGCGTGCGTGCGTGTGTGCATGCATGCATGAATGTGTGTGCGTGTGCGTGCGTGTGCATGCGTGCGTGCTTGCCAATCGTTTGTGCCCACTTCTTGTCTTTCCGTGCCGTACACCGCCGTCCTACTCGTCGTCGTCGTCATGGCCACCATGTTGTCATGTCGTCATGGCGGCAAACACCACCAGGTCTATTTTGAATACAGTGTGAATGGTGGTCAGTCATGGACGCGCATCACAACCATGTATTACTATTCATATCGCACGTCGGCGTCGCAGCTCAACTACGCCATCCCAGCCGGCGCACAGGACAAGACGGCGAGATTCCGCTGGCGCAACTCGGCCACCGGAACCGCGTACTCCGTGGCTCTCATCGACAACGTGTACATCGGCAACCCGGTCAATGTGTCAACGTCGCCGCTCCTGGAGACGTTCGACACCACTGCAAGGTAACGTACGGTGTGTTGTGAAACCTACGGATCCACCAGACCGGGATTCCAACCCAGCACCCCTGTATTTCCCGGGCAGTGCCCTAACCGATTAGGCTACCGGGGATCACACACACTCACTGGGTCCTTCTTGCTACACTGCTAACCGCCCCAACAGGCCGTACCTACTCGCGGGTGTGTGTGTGGAGGGGGGATACGACGAAAATGGGTTCGAACCATTGCCATGCACCAATGTTGCAAAAGAAGGATCCACGAGCGCGATTCGAGCCCAGCACCCCTGTCTTTCCGGGACAGTGCCCTAACCGATTAGGCTACCGGGGATCACACACACACACACATATATACACACACACATACACACATACACACATACACACACACACATACATACACACACATACACACACACACACACACGCACACGCATGCGGCTCCTTCTTGCTACGTAATAGTAACACTCACCGAGTAACCTACAGAACTGCCATCGGGTGCCGAAGAACTGAGGGTCAACCCCGTAGCCTAGGCCGTTCTAGTTATTTTTTCATGTAGTACAGTCTATGTGCACATTTGAGTAACCGTGTATACTGTTAATATACAAAATTTCGGCGCTGCAAAATTTCGGCACTTCACGATTTTTGACATTTTGGCGGCGATTTATTTTTGGCGTGGGGTAGAGGGCATGGTATAGTGCGACAGATGCTGTGAAAAATTTCACCGGCGTTTTAATTTAGGCGTTTTGGGTCGGTGCCGAATATAGCCGAAATTCAGTAGCTGCCGAAAATTTGTATATTTACTACATTGGTATGCTGTGCTTGGTGGAATCCTAGCCTGTTTTTTTATTGTTTTTTATTTTTTTTTACTTAAAGCCATGTGGTGCACGCCATGGGAACATGCAGCAGCCATGGTGGTGGGGCCACGTGTTCTTTCTTCGGTGCTATATTCTTGGGCACCCGGTAGTACGGCTCGCTTGCTTAGTGTGAACATTGTTCATGCGCGAGTTTATTGCTCTGGATTTAAGTGTGTTTTAACACAAATTACTTCAGACACTGAGTAGAGTAAGACCTGGTTTAAGGAGGCTCCGAACAGTTGCGCAGCGCAGTGTAAAAAGGGCACCTCGAAAATCTGTTTTTTGCCGCGAGATTCGAAAAATGTTGTGTTCCATGCGGAAACAAGCTGTTGTTTAGAAAGAAGTTTTTTGATTTCTCTGATGTAGTTCTACTCGTTGCAGTGTTTCTGTAGCCGTGGCTGTTTCTACGCTGGAAAGAATCACTGGCCATGGCTAATGCTAAACAAAGGCAGTTCCTACGCTGCTTGATTTTTTTGTGAAAACGTTGTTGATCAATTGAAGCGGTACGATGTGGCCACGAAGAACAAATAATTCAATGATAATACTGACGAAGAAGGGTGAGAAAAGCAGGCTGAAGTCAGTGAAGACATCGATGTCGAACGTAGTGATACTAGTACTGGCACTGGAATTTTGCATGGACTACCTGTGGAGCGTGAAGTGGCTGCCCACTCGCTGGTAAGTGGACCCACTTGCAGCTCCAGTCGCACGAGTGCCGTTTGAAACTTTCTGTGGATCCTAGAGTATCCTGAGCTCAGTGGACGACGCATCTCAGAGCTGCTGAACTTGGGCTACTGTCCCTGTAGGAATGAAGTTCGTGTCAACCACTGTACTGCACTGATGGTGTAAGGAAAACGCTGGCCAGAAGCTTGTGATCTGAACCAGGGACGCACTTCTAAATCCTGCTTTTGTAAAAATGGGGATGCCACAACTAAGATGTGCACACTCAGGTGTGTATTGGGTAAATGCCTGTGGTTGATTATTTTGAATCCTTTCCTATGCACAAGTACATGCGTTTGTGTGTGTGTGTGTGTGTGTACGCGCGCATGTGTGTGTGTGTGTACTCGCGCGCGCGAGTGTGTGTGTGTACGCGCGCGCGCGCGCGAGTGTGTGTGTGTGTACGCGCGCGCATGCGCGTGTGTGTGTGTGCAAGCTGTTGAAAGGTGTAATCCGAGCACAAGTTGCTATGTCTAACGTAGTTTGTTCGCTATCCTCGCTTCAGCGTTGGGCAGGTGTATGAGTGTGTGTGTGTGCGCGCGTGCTCGTGCCCGCATGTGTGGGTTCGCACGCAATGTTGATCTGGGTTATGCACATGTCCCCACGAGTGCACTGTGTGCATGTGCATGCAAATGTATGTGTACATGTATGTGTGTATGCACGTGCATGTGTGCGCGCGTGTGCAAAGCTAGGTGTGAAGGGGGGGGGGGGGGGCTCACGGTACTGGTTCTGTATGCCTCTCCTCTCTGGTGTCCGCAAGGACAGTGTGGTAATGGCTTTACAGTACAGGAGTTGCATGTGAATGCGCATTTGTGAACCGTATTTGAGACACAAAAAGAATTGCCGAGAGAGCATGACAGTACACTACATGTATATCGTATATGTGCACGCCAGCGTGTGTAGATGCATATTGCCCTTCATGCGATGTTTTTCTGGAGTCTGCTGCTATCAACGCAAGTGACAACCAGCAAATGCATGCCCAGTGCAGTGGCTGGTCTTCATGCTTTTATTTACACTAAGTCCTACTATGGACTAGTAGTGTTACAATGATGCGTGCATGAGAGTGCGTGCATGTGGGTGGGTGTTTTTGTGCGTGCGCACGCGTGTGAGTGTTTAGTGTGCCTTATTTTGAATGCCTGCTTTCACATTATTCATGTGCCAGTTTCATGGTCGAGGTTGTTATGAAACCTCGCTGCCTTACATGTACATGTACACTACTCGTATATCAATGTGCTAGGACTGAAGGCTACATGACATACATGTACATGTAATGATACATGTACCTTTCCAAGCACAGACTGTCTGGTATGTCCAAAGGAGGTTGCAGCATGAAAATAACTTCTTCTAAAATAATATTACCATACTACCATGTCATTGGTAGTGATATTTAGTCAAGAAGGCAAGAATGGTCAGATTTTCTAAAAATGCTATTTTCAGAATTGGCCTAAAAATACCATATTTTGATACCTATATTGTTTGGTAGGGGCCTAAAGTGCCTGGTGACACCATCAAAACTGTCCATTATCGGTTTCCTTGGGGCTCAAGGATCACAGAAAGCCACAAAAATCAATATGTCCATGGACAAAATGTTGCAGGCTGAACCATTTCACAATTCAGCACCCGATGGAAATTTCGGTACCCGTAATTTCGAAAAAGTGGCTCGCCAAGGGCAAAACCAAGACGCAGTCTATCTTGTGTAGCCAAGATACCTCCAAATGTGGTTCTTAAACATATGATGAAGAAAATGCTAAGTATCCTCCTTCCAGGAGGCTTCTTAGGGTCAAAAACCAAAATATTTTACCATTTTTTTACCGAAAATCAAGAAATTGTACACTCACTAAATACACCAGAATACCTCTTATATGCCTGGTGACCCTACCTAAAAACTATACCAAATTGAAGAAGAGACATCACTCCACCATTCTATGCATAAAAAACAGGGTGTCCATGGACCTTTTATTTTTACTTCTTTAGGTGGGAGCCTCCTTAAGCGACCACCCCACGGTGCAAGCAAAAGCGGTCGTTAAAGCCAGGCGGTCTTTAGAACTAGGTCGCACAGTGTCTGTGTAGAACTGTCGGTGCATGGAAAAGCGGTCGTTAAGAGCAGGTGGTCGCTAAGCCCAGAGGTCGCTTACACCAGGTTTTACTGTAGAGTCAACTTCGCTAATAACGACTGCGGATATAACGACAATTCACGAATAACGATAGAATTCCCATGCCCAGAGCAAAGTCCCATCCAACTGTAATACATATAATGAGACTTCGGGTATAACAACACTTTGTGAATAAGGACAGTTTTCTGATGCCCCGCCGCCGAGTGTCGTTATACGCCAAGCTCACTGTACATGTCCACATTCCTGCTGACCGTGGGCGTGGAGGCACATCTTCTCCCATTGTCACAGGTATGTTACGCTAAAGCGTTCATTGTTGCGGGGTGCCTGTGTGTGCGTGTGTGCTTGCGTGTGTGTGTGTGTGTGTGTGTGTGTGTGTGCGTGCGTGTGTGTGTGTGTGTGTGTGTGTGTGTGTGTGTGTGTGTGTGTGTGCGTGTGTGTGTGCACATGTTATGAAAAAAGTATCACCACCACTACCTGCACCCACGTGTTTCCCCCGCAGAAGAACATGATTATGCAAGTGTCGTGTGTGTGTAAACGTGTGTGTGTCCATGTCTGTGCATGTCCGTTTCTGTGTGTGTCTGTGTTTCCGTGTCTGTCTGTGTCTCCATGTGTCTGTGTGTTTGTGTGTGTGTATGCAGTGGCTTGATAGCGTCAACGTCTCACGGCACACAGGCGACCTACTGCTCCAGCAGCGGCAAGACGTTGCTAATGCAGCAGAGCACGGGCGTGAAGTACTACGCGACCTCTGCGCTCAGCCTCAAACCCGTCGCGCTGCCATCGACTGGCGACTCCATGGTTCAGTTTGATCTGTACATGGGCGTGTGCTCTAGCACACAGGTGACCACCACGCTGTCATACATGCGCATTGGCATCAGCACCCTCCCGTCCACGTCCCTATCCACGCTGCGCGCCTTTGTTAGCCAAGACTACGGCAACTTCTGGCATCGCGTGTCTGTCGTACTGCCCGGCGGAACGTATGGCGGGAAGACCGTGTTTCTGTCGCTTTACCAGACGAACGGGGATAGTACGACGGCGGGCAGACAAATCTCCATCGATAACCTCTACGTCGGAGCTTCATGTCCTAAGCAATGTTCGGGTGAGGCATGCCGTTGCTAAGTGTTGTGTGTGTATGTGTGTGTGTGTATGTGTGTATGCATTTGTGTATGCGTTTGAGCATGTGTCTGTTCACGTGTCTACGAGTATGTGTCTGTTCACGTGTCTATGAGTATGTGTGTGTGTAGGGGGTTTCTGTGGATAGGAGTGTGTGTGTGTGTGTGTGCTTGTTTGGCACCATGGTTGCAATGCAGATTAAATGGGAGCACATTGCTTCGTGCTGCTGCTCAAGTTGTGCAAGACGGATGGCCTGCATTGTGACCACACCCGGGCACTACTGCTGTATGGCCTGCTGTTATAACGTACGCACGCAAGATTCATTCCATGCAACTCGCGTATACCACAGCAGGAAACACCATCTGGTTTGTTCTAGGATAATTTAGAAGTGAACATGTAAAATGGCAATCATGGAGAGATAAGCAGCAGAGACACGTCAGTGCTGTCGTGGCACTAATGGCGCTATGACACGACAGTATAGGCCTCGTCAGCTCGTACCAAAGTAAGACACACGTCAGCCATGCAGACGTAATGCAGAAGAAGACTGATTCATAATGAGGTAAGACATTGTCACTCTTCGTCATGCATGCATCAAAGGAGCGTAGAACGACACACGTAGAGCACACGTAGAACGACACACGTAGCAGAACGTAGATCGTAGATCGTACGACTAATATTAATAATAGATCAATCTATAACAATCCTCCTTCCTTAAAGAAGTAGTGAAGTGGGACTAGCAATAATGCATATATAATCAAAATGCATCCAAACAACTATATACAAGAGCAAATCCTTATATCCGACTAACTATGATACAATACTATGCTATTACAGACAAATAGCGGAATAGGACACTCTAAGGCAATGTCAGAATTGCTAGGCGAGTCATTCATGACTAATGCTAAGATAGTCACTCAATACTCACAAATTTAAGCGATCAGGGGCACGGCGCATTCTTGACGGATAGCGCGGTGACACTGGAGTTGACGAAACAGGCACTGACACATCAGGCATACTAACAGGAGTAGCGACTTGAACTGTATCAGGCATACTAACAGGAGTAGCAGCAGTAGTAGACATACTAGGCGTGGCAGTAGTAGGCGTACTAGACGTAGCAGTAGTAGGCGTACTAGGCATAGTAGTAGCTGCTGTATCAATGACAGGAGACGACTGAGCCGGCGGTGAAGCTGGTAACTCAGGAGTCGGCGTTGCTGTAGCGACTGTCGGAGTAACACTCGGCGTAGACACTGTCGGAATGGCGTCGGACTCGGCCGATAAACCAGCAGACTCAGCTGTTCTGGACTTCAAATGATCGATGTGCACTTTTCGGACGACTCCTCCTACCATCACAGAATAGGTCATCGTACTGAGTCGTTTGCATATTAAACCTTCTAGCCACTTCGGCTTAGAGCCAGGACGAGCATTGTACACCCACACTGGTGCATTCACTGTGAACTCACGAGACGCAGTACTGTCGAGTTCATGGGCCTGCTGCATAGCCGTGGCGAAACTGGGTTGCAGCAGCGCCAAACGCGTGGTCGGGGCTTTCTTCAATAGAATATTCGCGGGACTCTGCTTAGTAGCGCTGTGCGGCGTGTTTCTGTAATCGAAAAGAAAGCGAGACACTTGCACACATACAGACACATGGTGAGGCCTTGCTCGCAAAGCCTTCTTCAGCTCTTGCACCATCCGCTCACACTGTCCGTTGCTGGCGGGATGATAGGGCGGTGTACGATGATGCTTAATACCATTCTGAGCACAGAAAGCAGCAAACTCGCCAGAGGCAAATTGTGGGCCGTTATCAGATACTAGCACTCTAGGAATACCAAATGTACTGATGAACCGTAGCAAACAGTTCACTGTTTTAGTAGTCGTAGCGGAGGAACCAAGCTCGTATACATCAATCCACTTAGAGAATGCATCAACTATGACCAGAAATTGTTGCGACTCGAACTCAGCAAAATCAAGATGCACACGCTCAAAAGCAGCATTGGGGTATGCCCAATGGTGGACAGAGTCCTTGCGGGGCAGATTAGAGCTTTCCTGACAAAGACTGCAATCGGCGGCTAATCGTTCGATATCGGCATCTAAGCCTGGCCACCAGAAAATGCTTCGTGCCACACTCTTCATTCGAGACACACCGGCATGTGAAGAATGCAGTTCCTCTAATAAGTGGCGTCTAAACTGAACTGGAATAATGACGCGGGAACCCCACAGCAAACAACCATGCTCAATACTTAGGTCATTCCGGATGCGGCTATATGGCACTAACCTGTCGGGAACTGTAGCAGGCCAACCATGCAGCGTGTAGGACATTACTAACGAAATGTCAGAATCGTATTTGCTAGCCTTGGCAACATCCGAACTCTGTAGAGGCATTAACTCGCAGGGGTCAAATGCATGACTGCTGACTGCACTAACAATTGCAGACATTTCAGCAGCAGACAATGGTAAAGGCAGACGAGACAGACAATCTGCTAGCACATTTTCTTTACCTGGAATATGCTCAATGACGTAGTCGTACTCAGCGAGAATCACGGCCCAGCGCTGTAGACGGGATGCCGACGTCTTACTTAACGACTCGTGCTCGCCGAAGATCTTGATTAGAGGCTTATGGTCGGTGCGCAGAATGAACTTACGACCGTAGATGTACTGGTGTAAACGACGAACAGCAAACACGATAGCTAACGCCTCTCGCTCAATCTGGCTGTAATGACTCTCTGCTTTGGACAAAGCACGTGACACATATACAACTGGCCGAACAGACTGGTCCGGCATGACATGTAGAAGAGCAGCACCAATACCAGCAGGGGATGCATCACACTCTAAGATCAGTGGTAAGGTAACATCATAATGGGCCATAACTGGATCGGCGATGAGAAACTCTTTAACTTTGGCAAACGCCGACTGACATGCATCCGTCCAATTAAAGACTACATCCTTCTTTAACAACTCGTTCAGGGGTTGTAACAGCGAGGAGCAATTGGGGATAAACCGCCCAAAGAAATTCACGAGCCCCAGAAACGAACGCAAGGTAGATACATCATGGGGCCTCGGGGCATTCTGAATACTCAAAACCTTATCCCGACTGGGCTGTAGACCAGCCTTCGACAATGTAAACCCAAGGTAACTAACTTGTGGCTTACCAATCTCACATTTCTCACGACGCAACCGCAGCCCTGTCTCAGCGAAACGACGGAGGACTGCTCGTAGACGCTCGTCGTGTTGTTGCTGGGTGTTACCACAAATGAGAATATCGTCGAAATAGACAACGACACCTTCTAGACCTTGTAGAACCTGCTCGATGGCCTTCTGCCAGATTGACGGAGCTGAGCTGACGCCGAAGGGTAGTCTCGTGAATTCGTACAAACCCTTGTGCGTAGCGATGACACAATAGCGCCTACTGTCGTCGTCGAGCGGTAGCTGAGCATAAGCTTGGCTGAGATCTAATTTGGAAAATACAGATCCACCAGATAATTGCGATAACAAATCACTCGGGTTGGGAATGGGATGTTGGTTAGCTTCAATGTGCTTGTTGATAGACACTTTAAAATCTGCACATAAGCGGATGGTGTTGTTTTTCTTTTTTACAACCACCACGGGGGATGCCCAATCAGCGTTAGAGACCGGCTTGATGATCCCCTCCCCCTCTAGACGCAACAACTCCGCTTCAACCTTAGTGCGGACAGCGTACGGGACAGGACGGGAACGGCAACTCTTGGGGGTGGGCGACCCTTGAAGCTGGATCTTGGCAGACTGACCCTTAATGGTACCCAAATCCTCTTGAAATACGGTAGGGAACTGACGCAATAGACTATCTAGCGACAATGCATTGACCTGTGCATTACGAAAATTTGACCAGTCTATAATGACGTGGGACATCCAGTTCCGACCAAACAGGGGCTGACCACTACCCTCTACAACAATGATGGTGTCTCGAAACTGGTGGGACTCGTAACGGACATCGACAATGCATTCACCCACTACAGATAGGGAACTACCACCATACGAATGCAGAGACGCACGAGACTTATGCAGACACACATTGGGAAACTGCTCCTTCCAAACAGAACTAGGGAATACTGAAACTTCAGCACCAGTGTCGACTTCCATAGGACAGACTACATCATTAACGCATACATCAATCATCATGGGAGGATGAGACTTAGACTTAGGTTGACACTTATCTGTAGGTGACACATCGTCGGTGAGAGCCCCAATGCTGAAAGAGTCGAACAGTGACTCTGGCTCGGACGAAATGTGGGACGTCGACTGCGAATTGCAGCAGGAAGCGAAATGCCCACGACGCTGACACTTGCTGCAGGTTTTGCCACGCGCCGGGCAACTCGGATCCCGACCGAAATGACCAGCCTTGCCACACCTAAAACAGAGACGCTCAGAGGAAGTAGAAGCAGAAACAGACACTCTCTCAGGTTTACGTGCACGATCCGTTTTACCTGACGACTTGAAATGTTGTTTCTGTTGTTTCTGCGACACAGAGTGCTTACGAGAGAGACCGTGGACTTCTGATGGCGTACTCATAGCAGCAGCGGAACCCATAGACGAAGCTTGTTGCTGGGTTGCCTCAAACAAAGCTGCAATTTCTAGACACGTACCCAAAGTTAGTTTTGGATCTGATAACAACTTCTTTTTCAACTCGACATTCACAATGCATGACACCACATGGTCTCGAATCATGTCGTCACAAGCGGTACCAAAATCACACAAGCGGGCCTGGACGCGTAATCTTACAACAAACTGACTCACCGACTCATTCTTAGCAAAGGTCATCTGGCGCAGCACGTGACGCTCGTATACAGGATGTGGCGCGGCCTTGAAATGTTCGTTCAGTTTCCGTAACGTAACCTTGTACTCGTTGTCATCCGCAGGCAGAGCCGACGCCTGTGGATCTTCGAGGTCTTCGAATAAGTCCTGAACCTGTGTTCCGGCAGTATGCAGCAATAAATTTTTCAGCCGTTTGTGATCCGTAATCCCTTGGCCTTCAGCCATGTACGTAAAGCTTCGTAGCCATTTCTTCCAGCGAGAGGACACTTCTGCTGGCGTGCCCCGGTATTCGAAAACTGGAAGCTTGTGGGCTGTGCTCAGGTTACTACAAACGCTCATCTTCGTCGCCAATTGTGACCACACCCGGGCACTACTGCTGTATGGCCTGCATTGTGACCACACCCGGGCACTACTGCTGTATGGCCTGCATTGTGACCACACCCGGGCACTACTGCTGTATGGCCTGCATTGTGACCACACCCGGGCACTACTGCTGTATGGCCTGCATTGTGACCACACCCGGGCACTACTGCTGTATGGCTGAACTCTGTCTTTGCCTGCACACCTGTTCACACGTGCCGCGTGTAAGCATGCTCACTGCCATCACCTGTTCAGTAGTGCACAACGGCAACCATGCCAACCAAACAAAGATGGCTGCACACCTGTTCACACATGCCGCGTGTAAGCATGCTCATTGTCATCACCTGTTCAGTAGTGCACAACGGCAACCATGCCAACCAAACAAAGATGGCTGCACACCTGTTCACACGTGACCCGTATAAGCATGCTCACTGTCATCACCTGTTCAGTAGTGGACAATGGCAACCATGCCAACCAAACAAAGATGGCTGCACAGCTGTTCACACGTGCCACGTATAAGCATGCTCACTGTCCTCACCTGTTCAGTAGTGGACAACGGCAACTATGCCAACCAAACAAAGATGGCTGCACACCTGTTCACAGGTGACCCGTATAAGCATGCTCACTGTCCTCACCTGTTCAGTAGTGCACAACGGCAACCATGCCAACCAAACAAAGATGGCTGCACACCTGTTCACACGTGCCGTGTGTAAGCATGCTCACTGCCATCACCTGTTCAGTAGTGCACAGCGGCAACCATGCCAAGTTTTTGCGAACCAAACAAAGATGGCTCAAACACAAACTTTTATTTGTTGGCCCTGCACGCCAAATCACTTCTTCTGTGTTTTGCTCTGCTCCGTGTCCGATCACGCTTTGTGTGTTCGTCAGATGTACGATTTCACCTCCCATTCTTACATCACTCATTTACTTTTGCAAAGTAAATACAGGGTGCTGGCCACTTCCGTTTCCGGCTACTCAATGCTCTCTGTCTCAGTCCCTCGGACTTGAATGCCATCTTGGCTCCATCAAAGCGGCTGGTTCGGTAGCGATTACCTAAGACCCCTTCGATCTCCCACCGTGGCGTTTCACTCCGCTGGCCAGCACTCTCCGTACCGCAAGCAGTGTGTTGACGTTAATGCGCGTGTGTGTATATGTGTGTGCGTGTGTGTATGTGTGTGTGTGTGCACGTGTATGTGACACACATGTATCTCAGGCCATGGCACCTGTCAGACCAGTGTCACGTGTAAATGTGACACTGGTTACTCAGGATTGGACTGCAGCAATGTCACCACCACCACCAACCCGACCTACCTCAAGGTTAGTCTATATACCACACACTAACACACACACGCACGCACACACGCACACACACACACACACACACACACGCACACACACACGCACGCATACACACACACACACACACACACACACACACAACAGGGGCGTCGGACACGGTACGGTCACTACGGTATTGACCGTACCACTATTTGCCACAAATACCCCATGAATCAATAAAAATGCACTGATTTGGGCACTGAATTTCCAAAATTTCGGCTCAGCCACCCCTGTCCCACACGTAAATTGTACTTCAGATGGCTGACCGTACCACACTAAATTACTTTCCGAATTGGTGAAAACTGGTACGGCCATGGCTGCACCAGCCGTACCAGTGGCGCCGGCCATGCGTGACGGCTTGCGTGTACATCCATCAATGCATCTAGTGTACATTCACAATTGTCACGTTTGTATATGTGTGTGTGTGTGTGCGTGTGTGTGTGTGTGTGTGTGTGCGTGTGTGTGTGTGTGTGTGTGTGTGTGTGCGTGTGTGTGTGTGTGAGTGTATGTGTGTACGTGTGTGTACGTGTGTGTGTGTATGTGTGTGTGTGTGTGTGTGTGTGTGTCTGTGTATGTGTGCGTGTGTGTCCATGGGTGTGTATGCACATGTGTGTGTGTGTGTGTGTGTGTGTGTGTGTGTGTGTGTGTGTGTATGTGTATGTGTATGTGTATGTGTATGTGTGTGTATGTGTATGTGTGTGTGTGTGTGTATGTGTATGTGTGTGTGTGTGTACGTGTGTGTATGTGTGTGTATGTGCACATGTGCATGTACATTGTGTATTTGTAACCGTGTCTCCGTGTGTTTTTCTTCACATCCCTGCGATAACCCCAGGAAACGTTTGACGGCGCATCGCTCAGCTCGCTATGGCAACCGCCCGTAGCCATGACGGTCACCAGCTCCTTGTGCGGCAGTTCCATTTCGTCCGGGGCCTACATCGCCGCCACGCAGCGCTCGTACGTACGCAAGCTGGAAACCGTCGACATGGACCTGTCGAACGCTGCGCCGTACGTGAACTTCCGCTACCTGAACGGGTACGGCTCGTTCAGCGGCCAGAGCTCGCAGTGCCGTATCATGTCCAGCTCTAGTTACCAAGTACGAGTGCAGTACTCAATCGACGGCGGCAATACCTGGTCGACGATGACGAACCTTTAGTAAGTGTTCTGATATCACATGGTGTATTCCTCATGTACAGTGCTGGCCACAGAAATCCAACAGAGAAATCCAACAGAGAAACCCGACAGAGAAATCCAACAGAGAAATCCAACAGAAAAACCCGACAGAGAAACCCGACTGAGAAACCCAACAGAGAAACCCGACAGAGAAATCCAACAGAGAAATTCAACGGAGAAATCCAACAGAGAAATCCAACAGAGAAATCCAACAGAGAAACCCGACAGAGAAACCCGACAGAGAAATCCAACAGAGAAACCCAACAGAGAAATCCAACAGAGAAACCCGACAGAGAAATCCAACGGAGAAATCCAACAGAGAAATCCAACAGAGAAATCCAACAGAGAAACCCAACAGAGAAACCCGACAGAGAAATCCAACAGAGAAATCCAGCCTCAGGAATAAAGCAGCACTGTATTCGAGTGCGCAGAACAGTGATATCAGTGCTAGGGCTGTGTTGCGCCCAGCACTATTTAAATCATTTTTTGTACAATGATCACAGCTCAGTCACAGGCAAAGACAAAAAATTGCATTGTGTGAGCATAGTGATGGTGAGGCTTTTCGCCCTCAGCCGACCTGAGGTCTCGGTGTCATGGGACATGAGGTTGGATTTCTTTGGCCAATACTGCAGTGCGTTATTTTGTGTACGTATTGTGTTTGTACGTAGTGTTGGTGCATGCGGGTATTGCTCTGATGTGAAGAGAGTAGTCGTCGTCTTGAGTTCGTCGTGTCCAGTTGTGTTTCCGTAGTCGTCTTCCATTTGTAATTCTATCGCCGTCAATTGTCTAATTGTGGGGATGGCACGGGCTGGGAGCAGGAGAGAAAGTCCAGATTCAGTATCCTGTTGGTTGTATTTGGTACCTCCTCGTTTTCACCATAGAGTGATTCACGCTCATCACACTGCGGCTACAGGCTTTCTCTAAGTAGAAGAAACCAGAGCTACCGACCTGTTAACATGATCTTCATTAATACAATACTTTAACTGGAGCCATGAAAACTGTCTGAAAGCCGCAGAGATGAACACACGCGCAACATGGCAACTTGCTGCAGCATATATTCCTGGAAACAAGCGCCCCCAAACCTCGAACAACAGTGTGCGTCGGCAGGTATTTCCGGGTGATACGGTCAGCCACCTGAAGTACCACTTACTCCTGGGGTTGGGGTTGGGGTGGCTGCTCCGAATGGTTTTCCCGGAATTTAGCGACCAAATCAATGCCTGTGGGCACAGCAACGACATAGCTCGACTGCGACGTTCGTTTCTCTCAAATCACTGTCTGTTACTGGTTCACAGGGTACCGGGTACCAGGGGCGTTGGACACGCTGCGGTCGATACCGTAGTGATCATCACAGCGTGTCAGACGCTCCTGAACAGGTTGCAATGTATTGTGGTGATGTCTGCGGCTTTCACACTTTCCATGGCTCTAATCCTGACCTATGGCATGCTCATTGCATGCTCCATACATTGCGTGTGGTAAGTTGGTAACGGACCGATGAGTGCTCGCATGCCTACACTAGGATATGCAAAAGTTACAACCGCAGCTGCTGCTGCTGCTGTATGTGTGTGTGTACATGTGTGTGTTCGCGCACGTATGTGCACGTGCACATGTGCGTCCGTGTCCGACTGAACCGGGATCCCAGCTACTACAACTACCGGTCTGCGACAGACGTCACCGTCATTCTGCCCGTGGCTGGCCGTAGCAAGGCCACTCGCATTCGCTGGTACCAGGGCTCCACATCGCTGACATCGGCCCTATCATTCTCTGCCACCTACCAATCCTGGTCCGTGGACAACATCGTCATTGGCTCGCAAGCTGGTGCTGTGTCTGGCAACGGCACGGCCTTCTCGGAAACGTACGTTCCGCACACACGCGCATACACACACACGCACACACGGACACGCACACACGCATACACACACACACGCACACACGCACACGCAAACACACAGACACATGCATGCATGCACACACACACACACACACACACACACGTGCACACACACACACACACACACACATACACATACCCTCACACACACACACACACACACACACACACACACACACACACACACACGCACGCACACACGCACACACGCACTGTACATTTCGCTATGGATGGTCACGTGCATATACATGTACATGTATACCTTATTATCTCATAAACACAGGCCTCCATTATAAGCACAGCCTCCATTATAAGCACAGGTCGGAGGGCTGTTGAGATTACAAACGCACAATCTCCAACATAGTCACACAGTGATAATACTGGAATGCAGCTGTGCGCATGCGCATACCTTGAAATGACGTATGCAGGCAGACGCATTCGCGTACGTTCTCGAACTCGTACTCCAGAGCTAAAAACCCAAAGTGCTCCACGGCTACGTGCGTGACTTCCACTTCCGTATCATTCTTTTTTCTTCTCTCTGTTCTCTAATCATGAAATCTGAGTTAAATTCCGATTTGAGTGTGTTACTGGTATGCAACTTTCTTGACTTTTTCATGGTTGAAAAAATATAAACACAGTCTCCAGTATTATCACGGTCTCCTCTATAAGCACGGGTGCGAGGTGGGTTGAAAAAATATAAGTACCGTGTTTATAAGGGAGATAATACCGGTATGCATATACAGTCAAATTTGCGAATAACGACACTCGGCGGCGGGGCATCAGAAAAGTGTCCTTACTCGCGAAGTGTCCTTATACCCGAAATCTCTTGATGTATTACAGTGAGATGGGACTTTGCTCTGGGCACAGTGATTCTGTCGTTATTCGTGAATTGTTGTTATATACGCATAACTTCTAATTATAATTAATAACTTCGTTATTAGCGAGGTTGACTGTATCTGCATGGTATCCAGGGGATAAGTTTCTGATTGTGATAATACTAACGTTATATTCATATGGCAATAAGGAGGACGAGCTGAAGTGACATTTGGATTACTTTATTAAACAATGTTTGGCGCAGGTCTGAGGCGGGAAGGGGTGTAGTGCGTAGACATGAGCTGCAGTGGTGCAGTAAGGTGACCTGCTTGAATCCTGCTTGCACACACTACAACTACTACAATACAACAGTGTACAACATCACCAAGTGATTGCTGTATAGTATACATATAGATGTGATAAGGCTCATGTGAGCCTGGGGCTCATGGCTGTTTTGCATGCTTGCCGTGCTGGGCTAGACGTACGAGAATGCGACCTCACTTTCCTTGTCCTTCAGTGTCTTTCCTTGCTAGAATAAGAATATGAAGCTGTGTAATGCTGTGTGTGGGCCCTTAGGCTTAGGCTTAGGGCCACGCATAACCATGATGTAATCGCGGAATTTCGCCGTGACCGACACCCATGCAGAAAAAGTCACAAGCTGTACACTCTGGGTATCACGTACGCTTGATAATAATATACACCTCTGTGCGACTCTCTGCCCAGGTTCCAGTCGTTCACGGGAGGACAGTGGCGAAGCATTGCCAACGGAGCGGCAAAGTCCTACTGTTCTAGTGCAAGCACGTCTCTCGTCTTCGACTCGTCAGGCGTGGCGAGCAGCCAGGGCGCACAGCGCTATGCGGCCACTGAGATCGTCCCAGTCCAGCTGCAGCCGGTCATCACGCCAACGGAGATGTTCAACACACTGCCCGCAGGGTAAGTGTGCAATGTACAGACTCAGTCAGTGTGTGCCTGGCATCGACATAATTTATTATGACTGTACACGTACATTGTGTGCCTGGTGTCGATATATTATGACTCGTACAATGTACAATCATTGTGTGCCTGGCATCGATATATTATGACTCTGTACAATGTACATTGTGTGCTTGGTGTCGATATATTATGACTCTGTACACGTACATTGTGTGCCTGGCATCGATATATTATGACTCTGTACAATGTACATTGTGTGCCTGGTATCGTTATAATTATGAATATGTACACGTACACTGTATGCCTGGCATCGATATTATAATGACTCTGCACACGCACATGTACTGCCGTGGACAGGGAAATCCGGTCAGAGGTCAAGCGGCCCGAG